GAAGGGCACTTGGCTTTTTTTAACTTGATGATTAACTTCGCTCAGCTGTTAGAACACGTAATTTGCTGGAACAGTAAAGAAGTAGATTTATTATCCTAAAAACTCAAAAAAATTCGATTCCCCTTTCTTTTGCCATTATAATAAAAACGTTTGTTTTGTTTCCAACCAGTGGATTTCTCGTTTGCTACCATAAGATGCTACCATAAAAGACAAAACGGCTTTCCGGTCCTGCTCGGAAGAAGTAGTACCTATACCTGACACAAGCGATGGGTGCAAACTTCCACTTACACCACTAGCACTGGATTCCTACACCGATTGCCCGGTGTCTGTCCGTCTTATGATGACTTGCATGATCAGCTCGGTTCAGCTGCATAGATGTAATGATCAGCTTCATAGCTGAAGTTTCAAAGATTAAAAAATTTGCTTTTTTAATGAAATGTTACATTCATTCATTCCGATCGAATTCTCATATGTAGGAATGTTCTAAAAAGTGTCTGATCAATGTGCAACGGTGCAAAAATCTCTTGAAAAATATCACCTGCAATTTAATAAAACAACAAACAAACAAATAACTCAGTGACAATTTATAAGGATGTGTGTCTGCCAGACCGTGTGTCTTTCTGTCTGTCTGCCGATTTCAACAGTGGTGTTTAATTTATGAACAGTTCTCAAAAAACCACGCATTCTTTTTCGATTGCTCAAAGGTCATTCCGTTTCTGATCACTGCTGCCTTGAAGAAAATGTCCTCAAGAAAGATAAAATTTTTCAAAATTTTAAAAATTCAAAAATACTGTGGAAATTAAGTGTTATAAAAAAGTATTCGGGAAGGTTTTGCAAGCTAGAACCATCTGAACACTAGAAAATTTTATATACAAATAAATTTCAAAATTAGTGTTGTAAAACTGGATTTTGCGGTAAAAAATGCAGCATCGTGCTGCATTCTGAGTTCCACGTAAAGCTAAAAGCAGCTAACTTGAGCTCCCCTCATCCCTCTACAATTTTCTGCAAACTTTTTGCCAATCTTTCGTAATTAAAGACAAAGATCGAGAGCATTCAGGCCGCCCGGGCAAACAGCGTGAGTATCCTGCTCGGGCAATCAGCTTTAGTGATGTTACCGGTAGAAGTCAAAACATACCAAGAACGTAAAACAAAATTTGGGATCTAGAATTTTTAACAGTTTGTTTGCTAATTTCTACAGAAATTGCCCAGGCTGCAGCGCAGCAGGCTTGCGATCACGCATTTTTGTACTAAACTTGCAGATTGCTAAAAGGAACGACGATCCCTACGCTGCTGTTTAGCACTTGGGCTCATATTGGTTGTGTTTTGACCTCTTCGCATATCCAGGGGAAAGGGCGTCAGCTGGTGTGAAGGTGCTACATTACGGGGCTGCAAGAACCTCCAGTATGTTTTATTAGTTTTTGTGCGCTTTTGCTTATATGCAAATGCAAAAACGCACATTGTGGCGACCCCGGCATTTGTGTGTTCGTCTGTGCGGGTATTTGAACTCGGCAACCAAACAATGATTTTGCTAGGAGGTTCCCCGACCAAGTGCCACCCCAGGGCCGCAGTACCAACCCTTATGCAAGTCTAGGCCCCGCTTACGAGAAAGTAAAAGTTTCGGTGGGAAAATCGCTAACCCTGGAATCAAAAAAGCTAGAATGCTGAAATTTTCAGGTTGTGTCCCCACCGATATAGAACTCAAAGGCTTCAAATCCAGCCTTCTGGCGAGAAAATTGCTAACTTGGGGACTAGGAAGGCTGGGAGGTAGAAATTTTAAGGGAAAGTTTCCAGCCTATTTGCAAGTTAAAGTTATCAAATTCAGCCTCTCGATGTGCGTGGCTCTCATGTACGGCCCAGCAAAATTTTTTGGCGGGAAAATGACTAACTCAGGGATCAGGAAAGCTGGAAGGCTTAAATTTTAAAGAGATTTTCCCAGACCACATGCAACTTACAGATTTTAAACTCGGCCCCCAGAAATGTCCATAGACCACATGCTCCCCCGTGGAAGTTTTGACTGGGAAATCGCTAGCAAAAGAAATTGCTAACCAGAAAAGTTGGAAAGTTGAAATTTTAGCGGAGTGTTCCTTGTCCAAGTATCACCTAGTCGCACATTAACTTCCAGAATTTCGAGGATCAGTGTGTCACAAATTGTAGCTATTGGGTTTCCGAGCGACCTTACCACTGCACGAAACACTGCAAAAACCCATGATCACATGGGCCCGCCTAGTGCGCATCGTCAATGATTTGCATAAAGCCCGGTCGTTTTTGTAGTGAATGCTCGCTCATTGAAACCTCATTGAAAGGCTGGATGGCAGCAGGCTTGCTGGTGCAATCATGCCTTTTTGCACTAAACTCGCAGGTAGCTATTAGCAGGAATGATCTCTGCGCTGTAGCCTGACACTTAGACGAATATTGGCCGTGTTTTGGCTCCTTCCGGCATGCAGGAGAAAGGGCGCCGGTTGGGATGAAGATAGCGCATTATAGAGCCGCATAGGCCCCCAGGTATATGACTACCAGCTTGTATTCGCACGAAGCCCGGTCGTTTTTTCGTTAAATGTTTGTTTTCTGAAAAAAAAAATGAAAAAAAGGGAATTCCACCTCCAAGCATAATTAAGACCGCACTTGAAAGTAGAATACCCCAGCAAATTTTCAGCCTTGCAGCTTATCCGATAAGCGAGATATCCATTTCGCTACAAATATCTTTGAAGTGCTCTAAGTCGTGACGCAAGTGTAAATTGGTACTCGTTTTGGGTACAGAATTTCCCATATGAGCAACAAATGTGCTGACAAAATTTCAGCCACTGATTTCCGCAAATTTTGGAGTTAGCACAGCACTAAGTTGCAAACTTTGACGCGATCGTACGCGCTGCACAAGCGTGCGCGACAGTTGAATTTGAATAAGCTTGCAAATGCACAGAGAATATTCCTGCAAAGTTTTTGCCTTGTACCTTGCCTGGTTCGCGAAATCGTCTCTCGTCGAAGAAATCTGCATATTTTTTTGGAGGATCTGTGCACGGGGTCTAGGCGCGTGTGGAGGAAGATCTCAAAACGGGAGGGTGACACACGGGGTAGAAACATATACCCGAAATTTCAGCCTTCCAGCTTTCCTGGTTGCTGAGGTAAAAGTGGGTGATAAAATGCAGTCGCTTCTGAACATACACACACACACACACACAGACGACCTCTCAACAATATGCGCTTTTACTGGCTGCAAAGCAAAAACGCATAAAAATGCAAATTCCAAGGGATTAGGAAATTCACAAAATGCACTCGCTTTTAGGTTTGCGATATCTGTCAGCCTGCTTGCAGGGAAGTTCACTTCTAAACTGAATTAAGACCTCACCTGGACTTAGAATATTCCTCTAGAGCTTCAACTTAGACTTAGCAGCTTCTCTGGTAAATGAAATAGTTACTTCGCCACAAATATTTTTAAGTCGTGACGAAAGTGTAAATCGAAATTCGTTATAAATATACGATTTTCTACGTGGCCAACAAATACAAAACTTCAGCTACTCTTTTCAGGCGAGTTTTCGAGTTAGTGCAGTGGGAA